GAGCCGCTATGCGATCCGAGCTGGCTGGCTGGATCAGGCAGACGCGCCCTCCAATCAGGCACTGTAGAGGGCCGCTCGCAGTGGCCTCGGAAGAGCGAGCAGCCGCCCGCTGACAGCCGGGTGATCGTGTCAGAGAGAGGAAGCCATGGCTTCGTTTAGCGGGGGTCGTGACGGCGCCCCCCCTCAGTCCTGCGCCCGGGGCAAGTGACCCCCCCGCACCCCCGGTTGTTACGCCACTGGAAACGTAACAATAACATTTTTAACACTTTGCGAATAATCGTGTGTTAGTATCTTTTTTTATTCTTTCCGCTGAAGAGTTATACGTTAGAAAACAATTCATGTACAGAGAACTAATAAAGTCTAATACCTTGCTTGCATATGGTTCAGACACCATATTAATCCTTGCTCGCAGTGCAGCTCCATCCAATTGCAACCCTTCTGCCTATCCCACAAGAATTGTACACCCTGATATGAACATTGTACAATCAGCATCATATTGCTGCACCTCAGATAAAAAAACAAACCACTTCCAAGTACACTTAACTTCATATTAGATTGATGCACTGCCAATTTTATCCTGACTGTTTATTGTTGTTATTATTATTATTGTTGTTATTATCATCATTATTATTATATTCCATTCTACAAAGGTGAAATACTAAAGTGTTGTTTTGTTGTCAATTTTATCTTGTCTGTTTATTGTTGTTGTTCATATTATTATTATATTCCATTTTACAAACGTGAAATACTAAAGTGTTGTTTTCTTGTGTTTTAGTTCACTGTCCACAACGCCTTAGAAGAAATAAAGACAACAGGATCCTTTACTTCCAAGTCAGCCCCATCGCTGCCCTGTCTGGACATTCCAGTTGTGTTCCTGGACCCCCTTTCTAGGATAAAAAATGTGAATGTCATCTGCTCTCCTGACCCAGCAGAGGGAGAGAAAAGTGGTACTGATATGGATCTTTCAAACGTGAGTGCTGGAAAATTGGTAAGGAATTTTTATGCACTCTTTTTTTGTTTGTTTAGAGGACTCTCGATTTTAGCCTTTGCCTTTGTTAAGTGAGTGTGGAATGACTGCTGGATGATGTTCAAATCTTATGGTATTACGTTGGGTTATGATGAAGATGTGATCATCTAAATGTATAAGTCCATTGAGGTAATCACATACAGTATGCAGGGAATGGCTGCTTGCTGATTCAGGATGATTTTGTTTTCACAAAATGCAACTTAATTTGCTGATTAATCCATCAACTAAAAAATGAGGTAGATAACACACTTAACCTTCTTCCAGGCTAACTGCTATGGGTCACTGAACTTTGTAGCTGCCACCTAACATGGCTGTTTGCTCAATGTGTTGTGTGTGGAAAAATGATTTGTGGTCATTTTGAGGAGGATCTATAAATGTAAATAATATTTGAATGAAAGTTCCTGACAGGAGGGTTTGAACTCCCATTTTTCTCCTTCCAGCCTTTTGTAAAAACTTTAGAACCACTAGTGGTCTTATTGTTTTAGTGACCCATCTGGATGGAGATGGTGCATCCACTCTGGTAGCCTTTGAGGACCGTATAGTACCTTGTTTAGAATGTTGAAATTGTGTCCCAACATGTATATCTACCAGTGATCGCTACGCGATCGACTGGTAGATCGCGATCGACCTTGTGGGCACCCCTGTACTAAGGCATGCACCCTAGTCAGAAGGCTGAATACTTTCTGGATTGATAGCCGTAGTAGAGTCTTGTACCATGTCAGCCATTGAGTCATGCACAAACTTTGGTGTTTAAGGGATGCCCCTTACTGGCTAACTTGAGTTATTCAAAATGCAATATTTTAGGATAACTTAAATATCTTCTTCAGGCATTATACAAATGTATAAATCTAAGTGATTTCAAAAGCTTGCATCTTTAAAGGAGTTGTAAATTCCCAGCATATACTATCCTGGTATAACATCAGCATTGTAATAGGAATACATCCTAGAGCTGTTTTTGATAATACAATCAAAGCTTACTTGAAAAATCCCTTTTATGTAGTGAGTGTTGCCTTCTGTCTGCCCATCGCTTTCAACAAATTTCTGGATTCCCAGTGTGCTTTCCATCTCTTGCTTGATGTGATGCAATCTGTTCCATCTGTTGCTTGATGTGACGCAATCTCAAGACTACATAGCCAATTATGCATTGCTTCCAGCAAGCAATGATGATGATACATTGTTCAGATGTTGAGTTGTAGTTCAGAAGGCAGGCTCTGTGAGAGTTGTGACACAAATGTAATACATATTCACACGGCTGAGTGAAATTGTGTCTGTGCATTGAGGAAGTACATCCTATGGGCATCTTCACTATGGAAGTTTACAAACTTCTAGATCTATATGGTTATTAGGAGTGGGATAGAACTTAAGGAAATTAAATATGGAAATACTTATTTATTTTTGACCATAGATACCCTTAATAATTTAAAGAGTAATTCCACTTTTATTTAGAAAAAAGATAAATCCCCTCTGGGTGATCTTCGTACATTGCAAGGATTTTAACCAACTTTGTACCTGTTTCTGTTCTGAAGAAATAGCCGTTTGTTGCAGCATGTCCTTTCCAAACTGATCCCTCAGTGGGAGGGTCTGGACTCATTTTAATCAGCTGGTGGACTTCCTGTGTTGTAATGAGGAAAGTTGCAGTGTCGACTTTAGAAGTAATGAACCCTTAGGTAGTATCCCACCAAAAATGAAATTCCTATTGCAAGGAAGGCCTAAACTTGTACTTTTATATTAGTGCAGACTTCTGGGAAAATAAGTCAGCCAATCACAGAAGCAGAAAGTGAGATTTCTGGGGGAGTTCTGTACACCAACTTTGTACAGAACGCCTCCAGGCCGCCATATTGCATTGAATTTATTTGATAGATTTAAGCTGCTACACTTTAGATTGAAAGGCCATTTTTAATAACATAAGCTGCAAAATGGCTTGTGTGACAATTATATATAATATATAATATAATATTCATTCTTTAAAGATTTTTTATTTTTTAAAGTGGCGTTACCCTTTAAGTTATCCAGTAAAGAGTATCACTTAAACTCCAAACTTTCTGCATTTATGATAGGCAATGCTCAAAATATGGACGATTAGTGTGCATTTATCTTTGCTTGCACAGGTTCTTTATTATGTTCTTAGCACTTCTCAGTATTTTCTTGATCTAGTTTGTAGATTGGTAAATTGAAAGATAGTGCAGCAGTCGGTGAATGTGCTTGTGTCAAGAGTGAATGTTGGTTGCTGACTGTTGGCATTTTTTGTTGGTTTCCAAATGCTTGGAAGTTCCTCCACCCCCTTACAGTATGATGTGAGTGCCATTCAATTTAATAGAACCGGAGCTTAACATTGTCTCTCTTCTATCTAATTGTTTTTTCTCATGGTGTACTTGTTCAGAACAGGTAAACTCTTCTCATCACTCTGCAATTCTGTTACAGATGTTTAAGATGAAAGGTTCAATAATACAACAGCCATTTTGTTACCTTGTGGCATTGCATGTTAATTTGTGCTTTGTCCTATACTTTAATAAACAAATGCATGTAAGAGTGAGGTGGTGTATATGGAGGCTTAGCTTTGTGTATATGGAGCTTAGTTTTGTCAGCGTACACATTTGCTTTTATATATACTATATATATGTATGTTCATCTCTGCAATGAATGCACATTTCCCCAGGTTTTGTCTCTTTAAAAAGACTGCATGTGTAAAATATTACTTGTTGCACATGATGCCAGATATCCATCAATTTCCTAATTTGTTAGGTCAGTTCCTATTGATATAGATACGCTCCCAGGTCTACATCTCCCAAGAACACTTTCTCTGCATACATGCTCTTGGAAGTCCAGGCAATAGTATTGCTTTGCTAGGAAATACATTAAAGTAAGGATGTGGAGGGGGGCAGGGAAACAGATTTTGTTGTAGTCTAACGGAGACTATACCATAGGCATGGCTGGCAATACTGCTTCAGATATGAATGCAGCTGAAGCACTGTTGCTATCTCACTACCGGAATTTATTAGCTCACTGGATTTCTGTCAGGATTAACAGGGTTTTTTTTCCTGCACTCGCAGCATGTGTAAAGAGACAAAACATGGGATAGTTGCCTATATTGACAATACTATATGTGCTTGAATTTTTGTAAAAAATGTCTAGATATATAAATTTTAGACAGTGAGATAGAATGATTGTAGTGGGTAAGCTTACACCACCCCACCACCACCACTCCCCCCTGTTTATAATCTACAAATTGCTACTTTTTTGTGAATAGCAAATTGACAAAATAAATTATAAGCATATAATAGAGGGAAAACAGATCAAAATTCTGCAAATAACTCAAATTACACCTATCAGCGATAACATTATGATGACCTGCCTGATATTGAGTATGTCCCCCTTTTGCCGCTAAAACAGCCCTGACCTGTCAAAGCATGGACTGCACTAGACCTCTGAAGGTATGCTGTGGTATTGGCACCAAGCCGTCAGTAGCAGATCCTTTAAGTCTCGTGAGTTGGGGCCTCCATGGATAGGACTTGTTTTCCAGCACATCCTACAGATGCTTGATTGGATTGAGATCTGGGGAATTTGGAGGTCAACACCTCAAACTTGTTGTTGTGTTCCTCAAACCCAAAGTAACATCTACATGAATGGCAGGACCTAAGTCTTTCCAGCGGAACATTGCTCAAAACATCATACTGCCTCCGCCAGCTTGCCTTCTTTGAATTACATACAGTGCATCCTGGTGCCATCTCTTCTCCACACGCACAAGGCGATCCACATGATGCAAAAAAAAAAATGTGATTCATCAGACCAGACCACCTTCTTCCAGTGCTTCGTGGTCTAGATCTAATGTTCATGTGCCCATTGTAGACGCTTTTGGTGGTGGACAGGGGTCAGCATGGTAACCCTGACCTGGTCTGCAGGCAACACAGCCCCATAAACAACAAACTGTGATGCACTGTTTGTTCAGACACATTTCTATCAGAACCAGCATTAATTATTTCAGCTATTGGATCAGACTACATAGGCCAGCCTTTGCTCCCCAAGTGCATCAGTAAGCCTTTGCTGCCTATGACCCTGTTGCCGGTTCACCAGTTTTCCTTCCTTGGACCACTTTTGCTAGGTCCTGACCACTGCAGACTGGGAACATTCCACAAAAGCTGCAGTTTTGGAGTTGCTCTGACCCAGTTGTCTACCCATCAAAATTTAGCCCTTGTCAAAGTCACTAAAATCCTTACACTTGCCCATTTTTTCTGCTTCCAACACATCAACTTCAGATATAAAACGTTCACTTGCTGCCTAATATATCCCACCCACTTCCAGGTGCTATTGAAACAAGATAATCAGTGTTATTCACTTCACTTCTTAGTGGTCATAATGTTATGGCTGATCTCTGTATGTGCACACTGAAAATACATAGTTTCCCCTTAAAAAAACTGCACCCCCCATTTTGGGAAAAAAAAACAAAGCTTTTAAAAGCTAAATGTTAGAGCGCTATTTTTATTAGTTTAGGTTAAAGCATAAAAGAGGCAGGGGAGCCTCTTCTGGCTTCAATTACTGGCTTCATTTATTTCTTGAGGGCTCCAGTGGCAGTATTTCTTTTCAAGGTACTGCACTGCACTGCACTTCAGCCATCAAGTTAACAATTCACTGTTCTGCATTCCCTATATAGCGCCAACAGTTTGCGCAGCGCTTTACAATATAAGGAAGACATTACAATCACAATACAAATCAAGACAAGATGGTGTGGAGGGCCCTGTCCCTGAGTGCTTACAATCTAAAAGGGAGGGATAAGTGATATATGAAGAGGTAGCTGTGTGGGGATGAATTGTTTGAGAATGTGATGGTTCAGTGGTTAGGTTGAAGTGGGATAGGCTTCGCTGAAGAGATGAGTCTTTAGGGAACGCCTAAAGGCAGTCAAGGTGGGAGATAGACAGACAGGTTGGGGTAAAGAGTTCCAGAGGATGGGAGAGACTCTAGAGAAG